CTCCATAGTACAGTAACTTTTGCTAATATGCAGTAGTTTAAAATAAATGATTAAAAATGGAATAAAATATAATATGGCATATGGAGCATATATCATAGATTGTTGGTGTGAAAATTTTAATTATCTTTTGTATAGAAATAATTCGTCTACATTTGACACGTTAAAATGTACACCGATCTCAGATTGAGATACTAGAGTGTACGAAAATTAAGTACATTATTGATCTCACTATTCGGATTCTCCGAATGTACGAATAGAAAATTATTGAACGGGAGAAAAAATATCAGGACGCGAGTGACTAATTGTAAGTTGGGAAATAATTAAAAGTTTTACAGGTATGTAAAATCTTTCGAGTCGATAGACATAAATGCCAAAGCAAGCATGGCTAAACGAATAAGGCGAATGGCAAAAACATAGTATATGTTAAATTTACACTTTGTTGCAATATTGCAAAATAACTTCATTTTTCTATTGACAATAGCAAATCTGAATTATTTCAAAAATTGTTAGTTTTAACATATGCGAATATTATTAATAAATATAAACTATTATTTTTTAAGCAAAAAAAAGATTATTTGATAATTTACACTGTTAGAAACAAATGCGGAAAAAAGAAAAGAAAGTTGCGAGAAGCAAATCTCGAACACGGGATTTTTCATATTCCAGCCACATGCCTTAGAAACACTTAGGGCGGTATTCATAGTCCGTTCTTATATTCAAAATCGTTTTAAGCACGGACTTATATTCGCTCTCTTCGTCACACATAGATTGTGTCTGACGAAGAGAGCGAATATAAGTTCGTGCTTAAGACGATCTTGAATATAAGAACGGACTATGAATACCGGCCTTACTTCTTAACATTTATCGTCTGTTGCGTCGGCTCGGTGGAAGGGAGACGGCGTTCTCTTCCATTGGTCGACCGGGTCGAGCTCACACGGATAGGGTGACGTCATCGGTTCTCGGTTGTATTAGTGTGATGCCGCCGCTCGTTTCTGGCAGCATTGCTCTGAATAGAGATTGTGTTTATTAGGATATTGACAGCTATTGGTGTGTTGCGCATATATGTGCTACAATGTAAAATCTTGTTGTTTAAATATCTCAGATAATAAAAATTGGCAAAACATTGCATATCAGAATGTAGAACATGCTGCTTGCGTAAACAAATGAATAACGCTATGCGAAATACTCCACAACGGCACAGCTGATTAAATAAGGTTATGTCACAGTATACAAATTAGAATACAGCGAAAAATGTCATCAAAGGGCACGTCGAAACGGCGTTCATCCAGCCCAGATTTTAGTAAAGATGACAGGTACCACAGAAAAAAGTATCACGACAATCATAAGAGCAAAGAGCGTAAAAGATCTGCACGGAACGATCGAGAAATGCATAAATATTCCGATTACGCGCGAGATTCCGAATCACGAAATTCGTCCTCAGAAGATTATCCTAAAAAAGATGACAAAAACATCTATTTCACCAAATACAGACACGAGTTAAATAAGATTTTCTTGGCAAATCCGAATCTCATTCGCGATGTTGGAGATTTTTGGAAGTTTGTCGAGAAATATGAGTCTGTCAAGAAGCAATCGAGCAACAGTGATGAATCTGTAATCGATGGCACTTTAAATTCCATTGGGGTACCAGAAAAGTATCACAACTCCCATTGTCTAAATTTCAAACTTGGTTCTTCCCTTGAAAAATTTGTGCAGATGTCTGAGGAAAAACAATTGGATAAATTGCTACCACAATTCAGGAATGTAATAATCTTGTATTTGGATTTCAAACAAAAAGAAAAATTTAACAAATTGAAAAAACTTAAAGATATGCAAGCTAATTTGCCAGTTGCACAATACAAAGAGGAAATTATTAGGACAATAAAGAATGAAAAAGTGGTTATTATAGCAGGTGACACTGGTTGTGGAAAATCTACTCAAATACCTCAATATCTGTATGAAGCAGGTTTTCGAAAAATAGGTAATCTAGTCTTAAAATAAGCATTGTGTGTCAATCTACGGATATAATATATTTTTCACGATAAAATTATACATTGATAAATATTTATCTGTTATATAGCATGTACGCAACCTCGAAGAATAGCGTGTATTTCGTTAGCAAAAAGAGTTGCTTTTGAAACACTGAGTGAAAATTTTAGCAGAGTGGGATATCAAATACGGTTTGAGAAACAGAAGAACCAACAGACAAATATTACATTTATAACGGAAGGTTTACTATTAAGACAGGTAGATATTTCAATATCTACAAATTATTAAACAATCTCAAGAGGGTTTAAATTATCACAATTTTTATTTTATATAGGTATCAGGTGAATCAGCATTATCTGCATATGATGTGATAGTCTTAGATGAAGTCCATGAACGTCATTTACATGGAGATTTGTTACTGGGTATTATGAAATGTATTATTCATCAAAAACCTGACTTAAAATTGGTGCTAATGTCTGCCACCATTAACATAGAGCTCTTTGGCAACTATTTTGCAAAGGAAGATGTTAAAATAATAGAAGTAAGTCTATATACATAATATATAATGTTCTAATAATTTAAGCAATTTAACGGTTCTTAGATATTTTTTGATAATTGTCAAGTATAGTTACATTAGTAACATTATTGAAATGTTGTATCTCTCTAGGTTCCTGGAAGATTATATCCTATTCAATTGCTCTATCGTCCTGTAACTGTAGAAGATCTCAGATACAAAAATGACCGATTTAATCCAAGTCCTTATGTGCAAATAATGCATATAATCGATCAAAAATATCCAGGTAAGAAAATTTTATCTACATTTTAATCATGTATTTATCGAGATTGTTTCTAACGTTTATCACAATTTTATTTACAACTATATTTTAATTAAGATTACGAATCAGTTTTGATAATTGCAATGATAAAATATTTCAGCGGACGAAAAGGGTGATTTGTTAATATTTCTGAGTGGAATAAGTGAAATTACTGCAATTGTGGATGCTGCCAAGGAATATAGTATAAAGAAAAATAATTGGATAGTTTTGCCACTCCATAGTACCCTCTCTATTGCCGAACAAGATAAGGTATGATTTTCTCGTGATATTATTTTTATGAATTGTATTTTTATATAAACTCTTTATAAAAAGATATAGAATTTTTTGTTCTTTCTTAGGTATTTGATTATGCACCCGAGGGTGTTAGAAAGTGCATTGTCGCAACAAACATTGCGGAAACTTCTATCACTATTGATGGAATCAGATTTGTTGCTGATAGCGGAAAAGTGAAAGAAATGAGTTACGATCCATCGTGTAAAATGCAGAAACTGAAAGAATTCTGGATAAGCAAAGCCAGTGCGGAACAGAGAAAAGGGAGAGCAGGCAGAACTGGACCGGGAGTTTGTTATAGGTAATTTATCTGTGAGATAATAAACTTCTATAACTTTATTGTATAAGAAAGACATTATAAACATTGGTTTTTTTTAGAATTTATTCAGAAGAAGAGTACAAAATCTTGGAAAGATACTCGACACCAGAATTACAACGTGTGCCTTTAGATTCTTCTTTATTACAAATGATAGCAATGGGACTTCCTGACGCACGAAAATTCCCGTTTATAGAGCCACCGCCAGTCGACAGTATAGAAAACGCTATACTATCCTTAAAAGATCACGTTAGTATCTTGATTTTGCATTGTTTTTTTCTTGTTTTCGATATAAAGTTAATAATTTTTTTGCACCAGGGTGCACTGACGGATAACGAAAAGATCACGTGTATCGGGAAAACTTTAGCGCGACTACCCGTTGATATTACAATAGGAAAAATGTTAATAATGGGATCCATTTTTCATCAAGTGGAACCTGTACTATCATTAGCTGCTGCTCTAAGTATACAAACACCGTTCACCAATAGAGCGTACAGGGATGCCGAATGCGAGGTAATGAATTTTAACACATGAAACAGTCGTCTTATGGAACTAGATTTGCAATAACATAATATCAATAATATTGAAGACATCTAGGAAGAAATTGGAATCTGACCATGGCGATCCAATAACCTTACTAAACGCGTTTAAAGAATGGCTGGAGGTGAAGCAAGAAAATTCTCAAGAATATAGAGGTAGCAGCAACAATAGCAGAAAATGGTGCAAACGAAGAGGTTTGGAAGAACAACGGTTCTACGAAATGATAAAACTGAGGGCTCAATTTAAAGATTTACTCCAAGTTAGTCGCATATTTTATATATATATAATATAAATTTTAAAGAATATATTTACAAATGTTTAATATCTTTACAAAATATTCAATATTCTATCATTTATTCAACAGGATTGCAATTTACTCAAAAGCCTCCCAGAACCAAATTCCTCTATGACAAGCGCGGAACGCGCAATGCGGCATGGAGAGTTAAAACTTTTGAAGTCTCTTAAAAGAAATTACAAACAAAATGAACCCAGGAGGCGCAAGCAATTAAAGGTAGAGACATTCGATATAAAATTGGAAGACAACGACGATGATAATGGCGAGCTTGACATAAAAGATATAGAATTTCGAATGAGAAATGATTCGAGTCAAGTACAGAATCTTCTGACGGCGTCTACAGCATGTAGCTATAAAGATCTAACGATTTTGAAGTTAATATTATGCAGTGGTTTATATCCACAATTTGCTTGTGCTGACGAATTTAATTATTGCAAGGTAAATCGCGTTAATCCGTAAATTATATATCTATAAAATATATTTTCTCAATACAATTCATATATTAATATATCACCATATTCAGTGCATTTATATATATAATATTTTAATAATTAATTTTATAATATTTTTAATTTAATAATAATATTTTAAATCATTACGTCTAGTCTATGAATGAGCAATTATTTCACACAAAAGCGAAACCGTATGTCGCTTTACATCCGATGAGCTTCTTTGGAAATCATCCGCAAGTTCTGCAGATTGAAGAAGCGGATATAGTATCGATACCAGGATTTAAGAGCAAAACCCCTGTTAGCCCTAAACATAAAATATTGGCATATCTGTAAGTTTTAATCTTTACTTAAAAAAGGCTGCGATAACAATATGAATTAATTTGCAAAATTAATGATATGACAGATCTCTCTTGGAAACTACAAAACCATATCTAGTAAATACTTTAAGGATGCCTGCCGCACAAACATTGCTGCTGTTTGCACGTGAAATAGATACAAATAGTACATTTTCCAGGTAAATATATATATAAAATATATATATAAAAATATATATTGATATTAAGTATGCATTTTATACTTTCTAATGATAGTACTGTTGCAATGCAGTGTAAAATGATTTTTGCGTCTTACAGGATGGCGTGCGATTCATGGCTGATGTTAGAATTTCCTATTCCCGACAGTGGTCAAACTTTATTGATGAAAGCTACCAAGTTGAGAAATAAATGGGATTTCTTATTAAACCAACAGTTACAAAGTAGGAAGCAAAGACGATTAAATCGTTTCCTCTTGTATCCGGAATTTGTAATAATCAAATGTTATTTTAGGATCTGGCGATGCAAATAATGAGCAAAAGGATTTTAGCAAAATTGAGCGGAGTCTTACACAAGAACTGATTGAATACATGCATACCACAGTACCATACACCATAAAACGATTGCTACCGGCCGATTTAAAAACGATATATGTCAGCGGTGGCAATAATAACATAAACATAGAGCCCAATCCTTTTCAATCCGATTTTAAGAGTATACCAAATGTAACTAAAGGTGGAATTCATGTAACAGATAGTATTACATATAATTGGTGAGTAAAAGAATATTATTAACACACGATAAAATAATTATTCAGATTGTTACTGCGTAAAATATGAAATCAAATATTGACTTTTTATTAATAAATTGTTACAGCATAAAGGAAACTGATTGGAGTGAACATCTAATCGCAGAAATGCTTGAGACCGAATGGCAGTGTCAAAAATGTGATTTTCAAGCGATTCTGTCAAGTATAGAAAAACTTCAACATCAAAACTCTTGTACGATCACAGATGCGACTGATAAAGAGGATAAAAAATGTGAAAATATCACACGTAAACCTAACAGTCAAGCATATGAATGTCCTAAATGTTCACAAACATTGTATCTAACACCTATTGAAATATTGAAGCATAAAAATTCACATGTCAAAACAAGTTGAGGTAAAATATCTTTATTATGTACATATATATATAAAATATACATATAAATATATAAATAAAATATTTTTTACATCAATAAATGTACAAATATTCATTAATAACTAACATTTACATAATTTTTTATCCATAATATACACATATAACTGTTTGTAGGAACTCCGTTCGTATATTTTTAACATACCTAAAAATAAAATTAATATTTTATTCTATTTACAAGTCTTTAAGTATATCCATTCTTTATTTACAAGAAGTTTAATAAATAGATGTAGTATGAATGTGTCCAAAAAATATTTTTAATAAAAAAGGCACATACATATTTACAGAATGTAATATATTAAGTCCAAGGCAGGAAATTTGGAAACATGAAACATCCTACAATTGTATATCCTATAAAATAAAATAATACAAGCTTATCTTGTAACGTATATTGTTCTTGCGATAAGAAAAATACTTTCCACTTGGAGTGCACATTCTGTTCGCTTTCATATAAATGAAGTTGATCGCTATATTTATGAGACATAATCAAAGCACAATGCCAATATATCAAAGGACTTGCAGAAGCTAAAAAACGTGTGCTGACTTGAATGTGCATGAAAAATAAGCAAAACAAAGTTAGAAATAACCCATGCGCTACAAAGGAAAACATATTTAATGGGTATTTCTTTATTTTACTTTTGCTTGCTGTTTCATTATTTTCAAATAATCCTAATAGACACAATTCATTCTTATATTCACAAGCAAATTCTTTTATACACCGCAACATAATGTACAATATCGGGAGGGCTAAAATAAAATTTGGTATCTGTTTGAATTGGTAATACTTAAAAAATCCAATATTCCAGTATGTTTTTTGCACATATGGATATGCAAGAGGCAGACTGTCATTGCACCATGCTGAGTGTATCGAACCTGCTAGGACTAGATCATTTTCCGTGGCATATCGTAAAACATATTCCGGCAATGGTGATTTGTTGAACGTAGCAATACAAAATTTCATATAATTGTATACTTGTATAAGGGCGAATTGAAATAGTGATACGATTATCGCGATTAATATGACGAAGAAGTTCTTTAACGTAATTAGTTTTAAAATATGCCACAAGATTGATAATATACCATAGTTTTGTTGATAATTATTTATTCGTTTTGACGCAGAATCTTTAAGTCCGAAATACACTGGAAAGCCAAGATTAATAATACCGTTGGATCTCACTCCAATCGACAAAGCCAGTGGAATATAAATGGTAGGCGCACACTTGATGCTCGCGAGCATGGTGTAAAATGTTAAATACGCAAACATGGACTCCGAATAAACAGCTGAGAAAAATATGCTGGCTGGATTTACGCAATAAAGTATCGCTGCTTTATACGCTGTTACAGTATTCGAAAATACGTATTCAGTCAGATCGTACAAAGTAACAGCCGCTTTTACAAAACATACGAAATTAATTAACATCGCAGCGATCATCAGCGTGCTTTCTCTGTTTAAAAAGAATTCAGGAATTATTAGCTTCAAAGTAACGGCGACAGTGCGAATAATAAGTGGATACACCGGGTAAAAAGCGATAGTATTCTCGTACGTGTATCCTTCTCTCGCGATATGTAAAAAGTATTCTCCATCCCAACGCGTAAGGCCACTAAATAAAAAATGAACTATTTGATCCCACTGCGAAGCTTTCTCCGCAAAATTCAAAGGTCTTTTGAACGCATCTGCATCATGATCTGGAATTGATGCGTTAGAAACAAGTTGCAATAACAATATGGCGATTCTGCTGGTAATTGCGAACCAAAAAACTTTTTCTCTTGGCGAGTACATTTGTTACCGGCTCGAATCCGCTAAATTTCTATGATATAATCGTAGAACACTTATATCTATTCAGTCGTGAAAAATTGTAGGATAACTTTGCGAATATCTCGCTTATGATCTAATTATATTCAGTGATTCACAATTTTGGTTTCCTGTACATATTATCGTCGCACGAAGAGGAAGTAGTTGAATCAAGCCACTTGCACAAACGATATTCTTGGCATATCGCAATTCTGTTCGAGAGTGGACAGTGCTGGAACAAATAATTTTTTACGTGACCAAGTGCATATTTTTCACATGGCATGTTAACAAAAGACAACATGTATTATGTATCGAATTTATTAATCATCGCGATTAATTTTTTATTAATTGCCGCACAAAACGACACGAATACACAAAACGACACAATAGAAAACCCATCTCCAACCTCATTTTCACTTCCATCTCAATTTGCACCCACAACTTCAACTTCAACTTTACCTACGCCTACACGGGATCCAAATGAAATATGTTCGTATATTACGTATCGTGTTTTAAATTACGTAAATATAACTTTATGATTTTTAAATTAAAATGTTTCTATCTTCCAGACAATACAAAACCGGAAAGAAAAAGTGTTAATGAAGAGTTTAGCCGAAAGTTAACCGATTGGTTATTTACTGGATGTTGGAGTGAAAAGTATCATCAGTCGAATGAGTGCCCACAGTATCGCGCTGCAAACGAATATCCTGGTTACGATGGATGGAACAATAATATTGGTAGACCAAAACTTGGAGCGGTTGACACGCCGTTACTAAGAAGACGGCCAGCAGCTTATGAAGATGGAGTGTATAAACCTTCGGGTTCTAATAGACCAGAACCATTAGAGATAAGTGAGAAGCTGCTGAGTGGAAAAATTGGAACTAAATCAAAAACGGGAAAAAACGCTTTACTCGTATTTTTTGGTAATGCAAAAACGACTTATATTGCGAAACTTTTTTTAAATCGCATCTTTTTGCCCTTGTTAATTTTTGAACTCTGCCGAAATATGTTTATTTACAAAATGTACAATATAATTTGCAAAAAAGTCTTTCAGAAAAATGTTTTAATGATTTATATTGTAGAATTCTTTATTTAAAATTACATTTTTCCTATTTATAAAGTTGAGAATTCTGTCAGAATATATTTATCTATAAAACAAAATATGATCTGCAGAAAACAGATTATAGATTTTTTTATAGACTTTTGTATTGTAACTTTGTAGACTTTTATAAATTATAATATTCTGCAATAACATATCGTATGATTGATAAAAAGAATTTACTTTTAGGTCAACAAGTGGTGGAGGAAATTTTGGATGCTCAGAGACCAGCGTGCCCGCCAGAGTATATCAACATAAACATTCCGGAAAATCATCGATACAGAGATAAACTAGAACACACGACAATGCCTGTTTTGCGTACACGGTATGATCATCGAACGGGTCATTCGCCGAATAATCCTCGTCAACAGGTGCGAATAAAATATTTTAAAGAATCCAAAAAAACTCTATAGCCCTCAAAATAAACTATATAGTTTTGCTAACGAACGATACTATTATTTCTATAGATTTTAAGTATCGATATACAATTTTGTAGCTGAACGAGATTACACCATTCTTAGACGGCGGAGTAATTTACGGCACATCCAAAGCTTGGTCGGACCTTTTGCGCACAAATGCCGACGGAACGTTGGAGCCGAACGGCCAACTTGCAACGGCGTACTTCGGCAATTATCCCGCTTTCAACGATATCCGTTTGCCAATGGCCAATCCACCGCCGCCTAATCATCATGATGAATATATTTCGCAACACCGCACTGAGAACGTCACTAGATATTTCAGTGAGTAAAAGTTTATTTATGCAAACGGATATTAGAGTTTTGTGCCGCAAACGCGTTTAGCGTAGTCAGCTATATGATGGTCCTTCGGCGTGCACTCGTATTCAATCTTCTCCGAATACGGCATCGGAACGTCGACGCCGGTGCAGCGCACCGCAGGCGCGTCGAGCTGAAAGAACACCGGATTCTCCATCACCGTCGCGACTATCTCAGATCCGACGCCGCATCTGGGCCAGCCGAGCTCGACCGTCATCAGCCTGTGCGTCTTGCCGATCGACTTGAACACAGCGTCCCAGTCCAAGGGTCTCAGCGAGCGCAGATTCACGACTTCCGCCTCGATTCCCTGCCCGGCCAATATCTCGGCGGCTTGAAGCGTGTACAAATACGCCTGGCCGTGCGTCACCAGAGTGATGTGCTCGCCGGACTTTTCCACCTTGGCCTTGCCGATGGGTATCTGATAATCCTTGTCCATAGCTTCGTCGGATACCGGAAACTCGACGTTGTAAAGCAGCTCGCTCTCCAGCATGATGACGGGATCGGGGTCCCGCACGGCCGACTTCAAACAGCCCCTGTAATCCTCGCAGGTCGCAGGCGACAGGACCTTCAGGCCGGGTACGCTCATGTACCACGCGGCGAAGCATTGCGAGTGCTGCGCGGCCAGGCCTTTCGCGTTGCCGTTCGGACCGCGAAATAGAACGGGAACGGGATATCTGCCGGCGGACATGTAGAGATTCTTCGCGGCGCCGTTGATAATGCGATCGATGGCCTGCATGGCGAAGTTGAAGGTCATAAATTCGCATATCGGCCTGAGGCCCAAGAGCGCCGCGCCGATGGCTATGCCGCAGAATCCGGCCTCCGTGATCGGCGTGTCGATTAGTCTCTTGTCGCCGTACTTTTTCCAAAGACCGCGCGTCACCTTGTAAGCGCCGTCGAACTGCGCGACTTCCTCCCCTATTATGAACACCCTTTCGTCCCGAGCCAACTCCTCGTCGAGGGCCAGATTCAGTGCGTCTCGCACCGTCATTTTCGCCGCCGATCTGGAAGGCGTTTTCACGCAAACGCGATGCGTCGTTTGCGATATGAGTTTCAGTGGTCGAAGAAAATGCATCTCGAACTCGGGCTAGTATAGTCGCGTGTGTGATTCGAACATGTGTTTTATAGGATTGGGAAATCCACGCGGCAATGAAAATCCGTTTCTGCTGACTTTCGGAGTGGTGTGGTTCAGATGGCACAATGTCCTGGCATCCGCTGTCAAGCGACACAATCCAAAGTGGTCGAGCGAGAAGATTTACAACGAGGCTCGTAAATGGGTGATAGCGACTCAACAGCACATTGTCGTTAACGAATGGTTGCTTTCATGGTTAGGGAAGAAAACTGACTTTCCTGCCTACAACGGTGAGAAATGAACGAAGGTTAATGCGCTGAATATATGATGCGCGATATGGGAAAAAATTTATTCAGATTACTCATAGTTTGCATGTAACCCAAGCGATAATTCACTCCTTATTCAAAGGTTACAATCCCAATATCGATCCGCAAATAGAGCAATTCTTTCAATCAGCCGCCTTTCGCTTCGGACACACTTTGGTTCCACCAGGTAAATAGCGTGCGCACTTTTTACGAACGTTATCCAGATATTTTCAATGCCGCGAGCGAAGTCAATTAAACAAGGAATGATTTTTGTGTTACGGTCCATTTGCTTTTATTCGACTTTCTTTTTGTTCAATTATAAAGTGATACAAAACAAATCGATTTACACCTCCGTTGATTAAAAATCATAGAATGCAATAAAATAATGATTGTAATGTTAGGTGTGTATCGACGCGACTACGGGAGAAATAATTGTACCTTGGAATATCCGGTTAGAACGTGCAATAATTATTGGATGTCGCAGGTATTTTAGCAATTACATTTAGAGATTTCACAAGCACGTATAATGTACAAATAAATTATTGCTTAGAATTCCGTCTACGCCAATTTGAAAGCACAGAAATTTGAAGTTGAAAAACTACTAATGGGAATGGCTATACAATTATGCGAAAAGGAGGATCATAAGATCGTTGAAGATCTGCAACGCAGTTTATTCGGTCCATTGGAATTTTCAAGAAGAGATTTAATGGCGCTGAACATTCAGAGAGGACGCGATCACGGAGTACCCGATTACAATAGCGCACGTCGTGCGTACAATTTGCACACCGTTAAAAATGAATCCCACTTTATTAATGTGGATGAAGAGGTGCGTGCAGGGAAATCTTTAATTCGTAGATTTAATCACAGCGAAAGATACATTATTTGTGCTTTATTTAAGAGCCGAAAGGAGTTTCTCAGACTGTATAACAACTCATTCGATGACGTGGATGTCTGGGTAGGCGGAATATTGGAGACTGGCGATGGGCCTGGAGAGCTGTTTGCAAAGATCATCAGTGATCAATTTCAGCGAATACGCGACGGTGATAGATTTTGGTACAAGAATTTCGACAATAAGTACGTGATTACGAAATGTGTTACATTTTATCATATTCTCTATACGACTCAATTTAATGGTCTTGTTTGCAGACTTTTTAATGAAATGGAAGCTAAAAGACTAGAAGACCTAACATTTTATGATGTGTTAATGAGTGTCACTGAAATGGACTGGAATGATATTCCACGTGATCCTTTCAGAGTTCCTGCGGGAGGTAAAAGAAAAAAATATATGCAGAAGTTTTGAAAATTGATAACTAAAAAATATCGCTAAATATATTCGCATTTTTTTCCAGAAAATGATATACATCCCAACTGTACTATTAATAACATTGTTAAAGAAGGCAATTGTACAAAAAATATTATTTGTTTTCATGCTGACCAAATAAATGAGCATAACATCGAAAATTGCACGTTGAAACCTGGAACTTATGACTTTTTCTCTAATAGCGGTTTGTCTTTCACTGCGACAGTTTTAGGTGTATTCACATTTCTCTGCGGTAAAAATCTATTACTCTTGTCCAGACGTTAGCTACAATGTGGGCCTTGTGATATATTTAATGTTAAATTTTGATGCAGGTTTAATTATACTGATCTCATGTAAAATACAATTCAAAGATAAGAAGCCAATGAAAGAAAATTTCGGGAGAACAGATAGGAGTGATAATACATTAGATATTATATATACTGAGTATGACGGTAAATTTTAATTTTAGATATGTTATATCTATATGACACTGCACATATATTAATGGAAATACTTTATGAACAGCTAGCGAATGGCAAGATGTAAATGCTCCATTGAGACATGTAATATTAATGCTAAATGTTAGAAGGAAGCAACTGGAAGTGAAAAATCGATTGGGACATTTGATACGCGCAGTGGAATTTCCACCCAATAGCAACGTTATGGTATATATTTTTCAACATACGCCTATTATTTGCTTTAATTAAAAATTCAATTGAGAACATAATAAAATGTAACATTTGTCTTTTTTTTTACAGGTTTATTGCGCGCACGATAGCCATTACATGTTGATTCGCGTACATCACAGTTACGATTTAGTGCTAAAGTTCGATTCCGAATTTTTGAGAGACACGTTTATAAAAGCATTTGAGAGATTTATAACAGAAATTAAAACAACGTCTGGGATTACATGCTCCGTGCAAATGATGATGAACAACACAAAGAAGTCGCTACTTAAGCTAGCAATAACCAAACGGCATCGTCAGAAAAAATTAGAAATGTTCTTCCGCGTTGTATTCGCACAGGTAATAACTTTTTTTATGAAATATACAAATAAATATCGATTCGTCAGGAACTAAGATAAGCATCCACATTTCTCTTAGGCGTTTCATATTACACATGCAGAAGAAGAAATCTTACAAATAGATGCGAGAGTGGCAAGAGAAGTAATTTACACCGAGATAACCATCATAGAATTTGCGGAAGCCCTAAGCATGAGGCCGGATGCGGAGTTCGTAAAGAAGGTGATTTACGCTAAATCCAACGAGAAACACGAATATGTGGACACATTTGTTGAAAAATTACATTTGCAGATATTTAATCTAGTGGATAAAGATAAAAATGGCTTTATATCGTTTCGGGAGTTCGTCGATATGTTGGTGATATTTCTGAAGGGCTCTGCTGAAGAAAAAATGAAGTTGATGTTTGATATGTATGATATCAATGGCACCGGAAGACTTAAGAGAGAGGAATTCTCAAATATGTTGAGGTACTCAATTAGTTGAATTACTTCGTCATGTATACTTCTTGTAGATTTTCTTGTTAAACTTTATGTATCGTATTAAATTGATAGATCATTCATGGAGACTGGCAATGCTGACATAGCAGACAATGAGTTGGAATCTTTAGTACAATCCATGATGTATCATGCTGACTTAGCGAACAAAGAAACTATAAATTTACAGGATTTTCAGCAAATATTAAGCGACTTTAATGATAAATTTCATTATGTGGAGTTAGAATTCAACATGCCTAGTGACGGAAAGAACAATAGGAAACTTCATGCAGGCGTGAAGACCGTTAGATCGACGTTTATTGGCGAAGTGCAAAGCACGGTCGAAAGTCTGTATACCGATCCAAGCGAATTAAAATCCAGAATTGAAGGCAAAATTGAGACCGAACAAGATGCGACGGATGATAGTAACGAAATTTTCGTCAAAGACGAAAAAAAAATTGTCGAAGACATGAAGAAACACTCGGACTATTGGTATCCTATAATGAAATATCTCGCCAACAAACGACTGCAAATATTCTGGGCGTGTTTGTATACTTTGTTTTTGCTTGGAATTTTCGGAGAACGAGTGTATTGTACGTTTTTCAACTATTTTTTCACAGCAGGTTTCTAACTTCAATTTCTGCTATGTGATCCACAATGTTTTTGTAGATCATCACATAGAACGAGAACATTCTGGCTTGAGACAGATATTAGGTTGCGGCCTGACTATAACGCGAGGCGCGGCGTCGGCTATGATGTTCACTTATTCCACATTATTAATTATGATGTGTCACAATACTATCACTGCTCTGAGAACTACGGTTTTGCAATTTTACATACCGTTCAATTCGGTGATTAAAATGCACAAGTATATCGCTTGCTGGGCGCTGATCTTTACCGGTAAGAATATTTTAACTTAAACCGTGTCTAAAACGATATATAGAATAATGCATTTTAGCAACAAATTAATTTGAATTACTATTATACATGAAAATTTTCAGTGTTACATGTAATCGGACATGGCTTCAACTTCTATTATATATCTACGCAAAGTGCTGACGATCTAACATGTTTGTTTCGCAATTATTTCCACGCGTAAGTTTGTATAAGTATTATGTCTCTTTTTAGATATTTCAATTATCTGTACGCGTTTATTAACCGTATTGGCATTTAGGACACATGAACTTCCCAAATTTCATTATTGGTGTTGGGGTACAATGGCAGGTGTAACGGGAATACTTTTAACAATTGTAACCGGATCGATATTCATATGTTCATTGCCAATGGTACGAAAATCATTCTACAATTGGTTCTCTTTTGTTCACTCCTTATATCTAGTTTTCTACATACTCATGATTTTACACGGCAGTGGAAGACTAGTACAAGTAATTAACGTTTTTATATTTACAAAAATTTGATTATCACACAATAATCTTACATAACTGAAAAATGTCTGATGCACCACAACAGGAACCATATTTCATTATTTCTTTTTGGGACCAGCTATTCTATTTATTCTCGATAAAGTCATAACTTTGACTAGGAAAACAATAGAGATACCATTGCTCAAAGCAGAAATCTTACCATCAGGTACGTTTTTTTCAAATTGTATTACTAGATTATCTATAATTAGGCTTTTATCTAACTTTTCACATACTACAAATTTGTAATTTAATCTGCACATATATATATTGTAGATGTAACATGGATAACATTTCCAAAACCTTTAAATTTTCAATATAAATCTGGTCAGTGGATTAGAATAGCATGTCCAGCATTACAAACAAATGAGTATCATCCATTTACTTTATCTTCTGCACCACACGAAACAAGTTTAAGTGTACATATACGGACAATTGGACCGTGGACGACAAACATTAGAGAAAAATTAGAGCAGTGTATAATGTCTAATGAAAGTCTGCCAGTGGTAACTCTTCATATTATAAAATTTTGCATATTTATTTATATCTACATATTATTTTACTAATAATACTTTTATTATCTGTACTGATAGATTCACATAGATGGTCCATATGGAGAAAGTCATCAAGATTGGGACAAATACGAAGTGGCAATCATGGTTGGTGGTGGAATAGGTGTTACACCTTTTGCATCAATACTCAAAGATGTTGTTTACAAGTCAAACTGCAATGTAAACTTTGGTTGCAAGAAGGTATAACAACACACCATTGTTAACATTATAGTAAAGAGAAGGATATATATATATATATATATATATATCAAAATGTTCCACTTTAGATATATTTCCTTTGGGTAACAAGAACGCAGAAGCAATTTGAATGGCTGGTTGATGTGTTAAGAGAGGCCGAAAAAGCAGATGTTAACAACACAGTGTCGATTCATATTTTTGTTACTCAATTTTATCAAAAATTTGACCTACGTACAATACTTTTGGTGAGATATCTGAATATTATTGTTAATCCGAAAGAATTTCACAGATAATCTAACTAATTTTACTTTTAGTACATTTGCGAACGGCATTTTCAAAAGATTTCAAATAAGTCTCTATTCACTGGACTGAAGGCAGTGACACATTTTGGACGCCCAAAGTTTCCTCAGTTTTTTATGTCTATACAAAAGTTGTATCCTACTGTAAGCATTTCATCATTATCAGATAATATAAATTATATTTATCGTGTAATCTTTTAATCTATTTATTACATTATGTAATATGTTCTTAAAACAATTTTTTTTTCAGACAAACAAGATTGGTGTTTTCAGTTGTGGCACACCAGCTTTGACGCAAGAAGTAGATGAAGCTTGCAAAGCAATAAATTTGTCAGAAATGTATGATACATTATTCCAACATCATTATAAGAGCTTTTAAGTTTATAAATCTTTAGTATTAGATTACATTTTTTGTGAAGGCTTAATTGCTTCATATTAATAAGAATTTTAATTATTTTATTTGTATATGTTCCTTATAAGCTCTTACAAATTTATATTATGGGATAAATAAATTTGTATTTGGATGTTATGTGTTTTTTAACTATGCACATTTGCATCAACATTAAAATATATAATTGTAAACAAGTATTTCTGTCATTAATTATTGTTAATAATAGACATAATTTATTTACTTGACTGTAATAAATCTGTAACAAATCATGAAACTGTTTTTTTTAAGTATTTATATAAAAAGGAAAAATTAAATATATACTTACAAACATATTACCAGATTACTGTAGGCTACTTCATAGCCTCTTCAGAATCGCGATTTTGTTAGATTCATCATCTATGTCGATCACAAATCACTCTCATTCTTTGATACTACAATCAATTACAAAAACATAAATAATAATTTAATCCTTTGGAATCGAATAATCCAATGCATGAAATTAAAGATTTGTTTTTTATTGCCGAATTTTCTGCACTAGTGTACACTAGTGACATCAAAGCGTTCTTCATTGCAGTATGTCTTTACTCACCGTTTCTACGCGTGCGCACATCATTGAGAGTACAGGCAAGTCAAAAAGTTAGGCCGGCGTCACATAGAACCCGTAATCCGTAATCCGCACCGAAAGTCCGCAAAAGTTACTAGGGATTGCGTCCGTAACGTTACGTGTGTTTTATCTCCTTGTGTCCCATGGAGCCGTAATTCCATGAAATTTCCGTAAAAGTTACTAAAAGTTACTAGTTATTACTAGTAATGTCTTTTTTTAATTTTATTTATTTAACTAAATTTGACGATTTAATTAAAATTTTTGTTAAAATTATAATATATTCTGTAGTTTTCTTATGAATAAAATACAAATAAACAATTATAATCTGTTAAATAAAAAATAGTAATACCGTTACGTGTGTATTTACGGCTCCATGGGACACAAGGAGAAAAACACACGTAACGTTACGGACGCAATCCCTAGTAACTTTTGCGGACTTCCGGTGCGGATTACGGATTACGGGTTCTATGTGACGCCGGCCTTAAAGTTTTCTTTTTTTAAACATTGTTTTGTTTTTGGCAATCAAAAATTTCGAACTTGACTAGTGTTGATTTTTCGTGTTTTTATTTGTAAAGTGAAAAGCGTTAATTTCTGAAAAATGCCGAAACAGCTTTCTCAGCATCAACGTGAGTTAATCATAATGTTAAAAGAAAAGGGAAGGAGCCGAAAGGAAATAGCGAAAACTATAAAATGCTCATATGCTGCTGTTCAAACAACTATAAAACGTTTTAACGAGACCAATTCGCATTTAAATAGAAAGCGCTCAGGCAGAAAAAGAATAACCACGAAATGCAAAGATAAAAAATTAGTTCGTGAAGCTTTAAAAGACTCGAAAAAAACGAAAGAAACATTTTCTGAGCTAGCTGACTTCACAGACGAAATTGGTGAATTAATTTCTGCTGGAACCGCGAGAAAGAGATTTGCAGAAGGTGATCTTAAAGGTTGCAAGCCAAAACCCAAAAGCCATGATTCTCTGAAAAAAGAACAAGAAGAAGAAGAAGTCCCGCGTAGACAAACTCGCTCGATGTCCAAGAAATCACTCAGGAAAATTGGATAAATATAGTTTGGATGTTTTGATGAATCTAACTTTGAAGTTCGTATAATTTAATTTATTTTACTAAAAAAAAAAATACTATTACTAGCATCAATTGATCTACTTAGACATAAACTTTTTTTAAAAAATAATGAATATCAATGTGTTTTTTAGATCTCCTGATGTACATACATATGACGAAGAGTGAAGAATACCATCTAGAATGTGTGATGCTTACTATAAATAATGATTTGGGACTGCATGGCTGTGTGGATGAAATGTTCATTCGATCTGTGAGGATCAAATATTGAAAAAACACTATAATAAAAACACTTTCCTTCATAAACTCTGTGGTTTCATTTTCTTTTAACCCGAAAACATAATCAGAAAATTAAATTATTATAGGGTGCCGAATACTTTTGGCCTGTATATTATGAGTAGTGATGAGCATTCAATCACATCTTTTGCGAATTTTCAATCAATTTAGTCACTGCTCCGTTTCGAAACATTTCGAATATTATTGAAAGTCTTGATAGATCTTAAAAGTTTTAATAGAATATTCTCTATGACAGAACTTATTCTAAATAAAAAGAGAAACAGATTCGAGAAATAGATAGAAAATAACATTGTAAACAAAATTTTGTTTCTACATTAGAAATATTTCTATATAGAAAATAACATCGTAAACAAAATTTTGTTTCTACATTATTAATAAATAATTCTTGTTTAACAAATAAAATTTAATGCATTATTTATTTATAACATCCTAATATTTTTTTACTTTCTCTCTCTAAAATTTATTAAAACATTCAAGAAACTCAAAATCTTCAAGATTAATCAAAACTTTTAAGATTATATAACTTCGAATAATATTCGAATTGATTCGAACTTCGCATGATATATTCGAACTAATTTAAAGCATCTTGAGATACCCATCACTAATTATGAGCTAGAGATGATAAGACTTGGATTATGTTCTAAGCACAATTGCAATTTCACAAATTGGAATAAAATCTACTACAGGGAATAAAATAAATCATAATTAATATTATGAATCAATAATCTACAGCTGGTCATGGTATTAATAAGAATCAAAATGTGTGAGAAATAAAAAAGTATTATTGATTTTCTTTTACATTATACATTAATACAGTATAAAGAATCAAATGCTTGTAATTTAAAGCATCTTGGTACTCGTCACTAATTATGAGCTAGAGATGATAAGACTTGGATTATGCTCTAAGCACAATTGCAATTTCACAAATTGGAATAAAATCTACTACGGGGAATAAAATAAATCATGATTAATATTATGAATCAATAATCTACAGCTGGTCATGGTATTAATAAGAATCAAAATGTGTGAGGAATAAAGAAATATTATTAATTTTCTTTTACATTATACATTTATAGAGTATAAGCAATCAAACACTTTTTATTATAAAGTTGTGAGTAGTGTAAGTTTTTCATTAAGTTGCAATTGCGTTTTTATTAGTCGAGATAAGGCCACAACCATCAGAAGATCCTTAACATTACTATTAAACATTTTGTTAAATTGATCGTTTGTCATTTTTGGTACAGAATGCACCATATCCAAAAGGGCTCTGCCTACCTGAAATAACAAAATCATTGTGTATATTGGCTAGACAACACTTACAAATAAAGAGATAAATGTTCATCCGTATTTACTTGATTATCTGGTGGTTGTTTTCCCGCTAACACGTCATCGACATATGCAAGTACTTGTTCCAGCATCAAAGAAAGTTTGGAACAAGCCTCCGAAACTTGCGCAAGATCCATCATGGGTTCTGTCCCTCTAGTAGTAGTTCCAGCTTGTACTTGAGATTGCAATTGAGTCTTGGAACATAATTGCATTCCTATAACCTCTGGTTCATAGCATGAAACCTGAAAGTGTTTAGATAAATGTTAGTTTCAATTATATTATCAAATGTTTTAACTTAAACTTTTTCTCAAATTTCATGACTTAATTTTTCAATATTGAATTGTCATAAAACAACTATCTTAAATTGATATTTTGACAAACCTGAACTTTAACAGGCGTGAACATAGATCCTTGCTTGCCATTAGGTACTCCTAATGGAACACACACGTAAGCTTTAAATGCCATCCTCGTGGTGTTTGTTAATGTAGTATTAACAGTCAAATGCACTGGATTATTACATTCTCGCACATAATATTCGTGGATAACAGATGAATGTGTGGTAACCTAAAACATATTTTTGCTAGCAAATTTTCCAAGAGTACTGTAATATCTATAAGACAATACACAATGTAAAAAAAAAACTTACCTCATCGCCAGTAGCCCACCAGCCAACAATGTTCTCTTGCGTATTAACTCGATGATTTAAATCATACAAGTCCATTCCGTAAGTAAGATCAGCTTCTACTTGACTTTCAGATTCCTTGTGTGGTACGCAAAAACAATTTGTTACTTCCACAATTCCTTTCTCTACGGTACCTGAAATAATAAAGAGTACATATTTGTTCACAGCTGCCAAGTCACACATTGCACGTCTCACTATGCTCCAGATGTGACCAAGATGCAAAGCCGAGAGACGAAAGATTCTTCGTTATTCAATATATACGTTACCTAATAAAGTACCAACAACACGCGACGATTCTGCTTTCCGTCGTTCGTAAGCATCTACAATTTGGAATAATATTACAGGATGCACCTTGACAGTTAGGTTAAGCGCCATGTTTGCTGCGACACGAAAGAAATGTGTTTGAAGCAGGAAGGTGAGTATATATCTCCACTTTTAAAAATCGATATTTTTAAGTTGAGCGTAAACGGCGCAGAGAACAGCAGTACTACTTCTTTTCCAAACTAAATTTTGTACGCACTATGCTCCTCGCTACAAAAAAGCAACCGTGGTACAGATTTTCACACCTTGTTCCAATGAAAAAAATGTTTTACAGTTTATTTCCACTCCAGCAGAAGTCTCTATTGTCGCTTCTGTACCGTCCGCTACATTGACAGCTGTTGATACCACTGGATGCTACCACTCGTGTGCACAACGCACGCTAGGTGCTCTCTACACAGCAAAATATTCAGGCAAAATATACGTCACTGTACGTCATCGCGCGCGCCGTGCGGCAACACGCACTGCATCAACTTTCATGTATCAGCTGGTTACGATCGTGAGTGCGCGCATTACCGCAGACCCGGTCGAAAATTGCAGTACATTATATAAGGCGAGTGAGTGAGCGCGGTTTGCGATGAACGGTGGCTAATGCATGGCACCGTGCTGTGACGAAAACGAGGTTTTCAGATAACACGCGGCTGTCAGTGCGGCTTCGAAGTGATAGTGACGGTTTTATAATAGTGCGTCGCGAGCGATTCGTTAAGTATTCATTCAAGGACGACCATTTAAGCATTTAGACTGTAATTCGCGAAGGAAGCTAGGAATTACACGCGAATTCGTGGTATTTTCTTCTCCCTCTCTTTCCTCCTTTTTTTTATCAGCGTCTCCTACCTTGCGTTCTCTGCCGTGCGTTACCGCTCACATAAATCATCCACCACGCACGTGATACGTCAATGCTCTTAACAAAAAAAGTGACAAAACTATTATAAAAATCACCGCTCACCACTTGCAGGTCACCGCGTTATTTACGCCCACGCACAACGACGAGTTATCGCCGTCTGTTAATACTCGTGCTCGTGTCTCAGTGCCGATTACACTTGTTTGACAGTTCGATAGGATGTCCGGCAACTTGAGAGAAATTGATCCGTTCAGCGAGATGCCTATGGAACTAGAATCCTGTGAAGGTACGAAATAGGACACAATAATTGCGATATCCTACAGCGTCTATTAGAACGATCGTTGTCGCGCGTTAATCAAGATCGTTTAAGCTTAAGATAAAGTTGACGTCAATTTGTGCTGCTTATCGCGAGTACACTCGAAGTGTCCATGAGATATTCGAATTAAATCTTTGATAATTTCGATACTATTGTATAATCAGTAAAATATATGAGTCAATTTCTGCTTAGAATTAAATTCTATAGATTTTTAATTTGCACCTTTTAATAACTTATGATTGACACATTTTGAAAGAGTCTGATTTACATAGATTTGATTAAAAATTTTTTTAAATTTGTTTTTTTCTCTAGTGTCATCTCTCAATATTTATAAGCATACGATTGTACTAAAAATTATGAAAAATTATTGTTATATATTCACAAACGCATTTCAGCTTACATATTAATTAACATAATTTAAAAAGTATGAATATGTATTGCAATTGAATGGTTTATGGTTCAAAAATAATCCTTGTCAAAAATTGAGATAATGGTGTATTCTAGTAGTCAAAAGTAAAATCTACAGTATGGTTCCACCAATTATCATAAAAGCAACTCATGCTTTGGTTTACATTCTTAAGAAGTTTGAATGGTTCTATTGAAAACTTAAGGATGACAATATATTATGTTGTTTTCTTCTCCTGAACAAATGAAAAAATTGACAAGAGTTATTTTTGTTATAAACCCTTCAATTTTTGCACATTTAGCTACTAAACTTTATTAATATGTTAATATTTTTATTTATCATAATTCTTGGACTGTGAATGTTGGACTGTGAAGTGAAATAATGATTTTATTTCTGTTTCACAAAGAGAATGACGAAGCAATAGAAGAGGGTCCAAAGGACAATGTAGAAACGAATATAGAAACTGAAGAATCTTACGCAGAATCTTTAACTCCAGAAGAAATACGGTGGTTTTATAAAGATGGTGTTGAAAAAAGATGGAATGAATTTTGCGGGTACGACAGCTTAAGAATCGAAAAAATTTATCAGGAGCGTCAAAATTTAATTGGCACAAGTAACGACGAGATAAACAATGAAAATAATTTACCACCTGCTGAAAGAATTGTAGTTAGAGGAGGCATGTACGATGTTCAAATTGATAATATGAAATGCGTATCTATATACTGGCCAGGTGAATATTATGTATTATTTTTCTTTTACTTTTGCTAGAGATTACATTGCTCTTAATTTTTACTTTTACACTGCTTACACTTATCAATATAATTTGTATAAATCAATGTTAATGCAGGTCAACATGTTGATGTGAACATATCTGAATGCCTTAATAACATTTTAATGCTTGTTTAGATTTCTGCACATTTGCCTGTTTGTGTGCAGTGTACACTGTCTTTATACTGCAAAGATTACTTTGTCCTTGAGGTTATTATAGCCAATTTCTATTGACTGTGTGCCTATTATGACTCGCATCATGTGAAACAAATATAATGCAGGCAATAGATTTTATTTAACAGCACTTAACAAAATATTTATCTATTTTTAGTTATGTCTTAAATTTTTATAATATGATATAATGTATGAAATATTTCAATTACTAATAATGTATTTAGAAATATAGTTTATTTTATAATTATTACAAGAAATTTGCAAGCTAAAAGAATCATATATGTATTTTGGGGGGAATTTTGGAATCTTACAGAACTGTTAATTATCTATTGAATGTTTTCGCAAAAGTTGGAAATTTAAAATTGTGCACTTTTCCAACAAAACTAAATAGACAAAGAATGTTGCGATTTGTATGAAATGTTTTTATCGTATTTTTACAAAATCAGTTTACATAATCTCTAATTTATTCAACTTGTGCAAATATAATATTTCGTGTGAATTTTTTTGATTGAAGGTGAAGAATGGGAAATTATGAGAGCTACGTGGTATTATGATGGCAGTTGGATACCGTTAGAGACAGAACATTCCAAAGTAATAGAAGAAGTCCACCTTAGATTATTTCAAAAAGAAAGTAACGATCAAAGTAGCTCTAAGTGTGATGCGAGTGTTCCTCAGGCTTATAAAGGTATTCTTCTCGCTCGGTTTCATTCTATTGAATGTTTCAAGTCACGCGTTGTTTTCTTCCAGTATTACATACCGAACAGTTCTCTGAATTTCACGTTGACTGGCACTCGATTAACGACGTAATATTATATAGCGAATACACTCCTACTAAACTGATGCGCAGTGTCACGTCAAAGCTGGGCTTTGCCAAAAGTGAGTGCAGGATTAGCGAATTGCAGAGATATCAAGCTCGTATTTTTGCACGTTGTTGTATGATTATGCGTCTTTTTGCATTTCTAATTTTGCAGCAACAGGGTATCGATTAAAACGAGGCTACAAATCGCGTGCGAGCATGGAGGATAAGCCGCGCGATATTGACCATTTAGTATTTGTTGTTCACGGAATAGGACAAAAACGGGATACAGGGAAGATTATACGTAACACCACATGGTACGTAAAAACATTGCATCTATTATCACAGAAATAACAGCATCTCCTTTAATAATAATAATGTGCGCGATTGAAAACAGTTTCAGGGGCTGCGTGGATTGGCTCAAACAGAAGTACTTCCCAAATTCTCAGCATAGAGTAGAATTTTTTGCAGTTGAATGGCGATCGTCGTTAAAGTTAGACGGAGGTAAGGACTTTTGCGGCAAAGCGAAAGCGGCATTTGTTTAATTGATCAAACGTGCGACTTTGCTTCCAGATATAGTCGACGCGATTACGCCTTATAGCGTGTTAAGTATACGTCACTTGTTAAATACATCAGCGATGGATATTTTATATTATACAAGTCCTTTATACGGTGCTGAAGTTAGAGCCGGCTTGCAGAAAGAACTGAATAGATTGTACTTTATGTTCGCGAGTCGGCATCCCGGCTGGCAGGGGAAGGTTTCAATACTGGCGCATTCCCTAGGATGCGTGATTGTGTACGACATAGTCACAGGCTGGATGGGACCCGACACGCGACTTCCATCTCCGCATGCACACGAAGTTTTGTTACAAGGATTACAATTTCCGGTGAGTTTCTAAAGTTTCCAATAACAATTAAATAAATCATCTGAATTTTTTCCACACAGATTGTCTACAAGAATGTTGAATTATCACGAAGATTCTTCTCCCGTTCACAGATTGAAAATCTATTCTGCTTGGGCTCACCGTTGTCTGTATTCTTAGCGTTGCGCACACGTACTCCATCCAATAGGTTAGACGTGATGCCGCAAAGTTTGTGCAAGAGATTTTATAACATATTTCATTGGTCCGATCCGGTCGCTTATCGTATGGAGCCGCTCTTGGAGCGAGGTTACAGTAAAATCGAGCCAGTTCTCATACCGCCGTACGGAGGGGTCGACGGACAGCAGATACCACAGTCGCCTTCGTCGTTAAACAACGTCGATCCAACTCTACCGCCTACAGGTATTTTTGTTTCTCACGATGAATCGTAAAATATCAGACTTTTGTCACTGCTTGCATTGCGTACGTATTGCGTATTCATATGAATGATTGTGATAATCCGGAGACTAATGTAGTCAAATGGTTGACGCACTTGGCGACAAAATTTTTTTTTTTGTTTCAAAAAGGCTGACTGAATTGTTGGAAGTATCGCGACTTTCAATTAAAAATAACATGGCATAATTCTGTTTAAATAGAAACTGACGATAAAGATGATAGCCCAACGGATATACCGAATCGTGCGGAGAAGGGCTGGAGTCTTTGGGACCTAGTGCGAGGCGGTTGGAACGTTAGAGAAGGCCCGTCTTCGCCGACGCCAGAGTCGAATCCGCCAATCCGTCCAGGTCAAGGTAAAAATCTATACATTTGAATAGCGAAATAATTTAATCCTCTGTGCATCATGAATGAAGAGTTTGTGCTTTATTAGAATTAACGCAGCGATTGGATTATGTGCTGCGTGCAGTCGGTTTAGGAAGGAATTACTTGTATACGGTGGCAGCGCACACGGCATATTGGAATAATTATGACGTGGCCTATTTCGTATTAACAAGACTCTTTCCGACGTTGGAATCGTGATGGCGGTTTAAACATTTTAACGCGGAATCTTCAGTCAGGGAACTTTGGATTCTGCTGAAATGTTCTAGTCCATTGTAGGCCTGTCCCCAAACGTGATATCCCAAAATAGGCTTACCACAAAAACAATCTGTGATAATGGAAAAACGATACAATAATGTTTGCAAATTCTATGAAAAGTAATCATTTTATATTGCTCGCATAATTTAGTATCAACTCCTATCAAGTTACGCAAGACAAACGAAACTTTGTCTCCACTCGTATTTTGGAAAGTAACTTGTTTGTACCAAACGTAATTTGTACGTAGCGTAATATAGATTCTATATTATAGGTATGAAAAGATAATGAGTTTTACGGTTTACGTTACCTCTTGCGATATAAAGCATAGTTTATGCGCGACATATTTGTCAAGTATAACACTTCCTATAACTCTCTCTCTCTCTCTCTCTCTCTCTCTCTCTCTGTTACTTGTTACAACGCAATAGTTATTTTCGATTAGTTTTCTTCGAGCGGTACCTAATATATTCTTGTTGATCGCTTTTGTTATATTATTGCCATATTTTAAGATTAGCGTTTAGAAGTAAAATAAGGTGATGTGCTTACACATTTTTCTTACGTACGTACTCGAACTGTTAATCGAGTTGCGAGTACATTTGGAAACATTCATTTCCGAATGTACGAGGAGTAATGCAGAAACATAAAACACCATAATACTAACTTAAATTTTTAAATAATACATAATTTAAGATACGCTACTTATACAATGGTATATGTAATTTTACATCTTTAATTTAATAGCAATTCGTATTATATCATAATTAGATTGTTTTCATATTGTTTTAGAGAGTTTACTTAAGCACAAAATATTCTTATGAATTTTTGTAAGCTAAGCTGGAATTATCTAAAAATCTTCGAATACAATGACTTCTTTGTAAAGAATTGCGCAGAAATAAAGTTTGTTACTCTGATAGGATATTTCTAAATTTAGTAATTTAAATCGTGCGGTGATATTTTGAGAGATATTATGCATTGAAAGGTTTGCTTTATCTCACAGAGAAAATTGTTTCGTACCATTCAAAATTTAGGCTAACATACCGAATACAGTTGGAATAAAAAATTATGATTTTTTTTACGTTGAAAGATACTTTTGTGTATTATCTACGTCTTAACGAATAACAGTAGATTAAGATATATTTATATTACCATATTACAGAGCGTAATTATGTTTTTTGTTATTATATTATGAAATTATTTAAAATATGGAAGTTTATTTATATCAATCATTGCATTAACGTTTCTTAACACTACTGTCTTATTTTGCGTATCATATCACGTGTTTGACATATCAGATAATTATGTATTAATTATTGCAAAATGTAATATTATTTTGATTATTAAGAGTTACAAGTATTTGTATTTGTATAAACATAACACGAATTTTTAATATCGATCAACTTAGACGCAAGGATCATTTCTACATTTTCCGCTGAAAAATATGCATTGAATAATATATTAGTTGTTTGTACTATCTTATGACTATTATATATCATGATATGTAAGTTAGAAAAGCGAAAATGATGGTCGTTTTGTCTTTGCGATGTGTATGAAAGAATGTTATTGAATGCAAAATGCATGAAATAGTTTATTAACGATGCGAAAAGGATAATTTAATAGCGTGACAATAACAAAGAAATTTATTACATGAAGTTTTTATCAGAAGAGTATAGAAGAGAATATCAAATTTTATATGACACGTCATTATTAATAAGCCTATGGGAACATCGATATAAGTAATTTTTCTTAATATAGAGAATAGTGTGGTGTATATATCCATTATTATGTGATCAAAAATCTGTTTCTAAGAAATGCCTATGATAACAGTAATATAACAAGGCTTACAATATAAAATAAGCAATCTGCCATAGTAATAAAATTATAAGAGACATTTCAGATCGATATATATTGTTCAATACTCTTTCAAACATTAACATATCTGTACCCGCGCGTTTAAAATATAATATTTTATGTAATGCTTTTTCACAAGAATATTAATCCATTAATGAGCATGAATTATGGAAAATTGAAATCAAAGAATCTTGCAGTGACAACCTTTTAAAAGTCGAGTTGAATCTGTGCATACAATGAAAATTATTATCTCTTTTACGAAACAAGAATGATAATAGCTTGATTATGCAACTTTCTGCAGTCATAATCTTAATAAGAATAGATAATTGTGAAAAACAGCAAAACAACAGATACCATATCATAACTTTTATATAATAATATAAACGTTTTCATAATTTATCACTTTCATAAAAGTGTTGAAATCCAGATTATCTATAAAGTTGGTGCATTGCGAAAATGGTTTGATATCTTTGGTCGAAAGCGTAAATATATGTAGACAAGAACGTAAATAGGAAATAACATGTTTATAGTATTGATTGATGTGATTTACATATTTTATACCAGTCACGTAACTTCGATGTTTCATCGATGTTTCTTATGAGACAATGAGAGAAATTTTATATCTGTTCTTTATGCTGTGTTATGTAAATTACAAACATTTTTGAAATAAATATATTATACAAAGATCATTTTTCTCTTATATTATGTATTCTGAGTTTCTGTTCTTTCTTTTAGAAAATTTAATAAGAATTGATAATTTGTCACTGTTTTTTACTTTTCAATCAAGTATTATGGTGCTGAATGAAATGGCAGTATAGCATTAAATCTCTGTTGAAATATACAAGAGATAGCAAATATTAAAAAATTTATACTTATTACATTAATTGGAATAAAGTATATATTGATTATATTTTTCTACTATATTATATATGACTTTATTGATAGAGATAATATCGTAAATACAGTATAAAATTGCATTACAGCATGATTGATATCGAAAGAAATTAAATACAGTCAAAATATGAAATGCACACTGCAGTAAAGTGTGCAAATAGCCTCGATAATGGCGATAACGAAATAATTACAAATTCAGAGATAGATATTCAAATCAGTGCAGTAAAACTTTTTCCACATGTTTCTTCAATAGCACGAGGCCCGATAATACAAGCAATCTAATTTGAAAATGCGCTTAAAATTAATTTACAGCGTATAAAAATACTATTACAGAAATACAAGTTGCTAAATCGTATCTGTCACGTATCGATATGCTTAGGAATTAAAATATCTGTTATTTTTTATTATAATTAATACAATAAGTTTATTTAAGAATACATATACGCTTATCTTACAACAGAGAAGATATAAAAAAGGAGAGATCGTCGTTCTTTTGAAAACGATTAAAGAAATAAATATAAGAAATGTTGTAACGATATGTGCTGAGAATAATTTAGATCTGCAATTATATTATGGTTTACGTCGTAAAACGAACGAAATAAATAAAACGAATGGAGTAACGCGGGCATTTGTATAGAGTTTCGATGGAATGCAATTCACTTTAACATCGCTAACATTCAAGAATATAAGCCAAAACACTTTTGAACATGCCATCTAACCACAAGCAAGATATAAATCAGATATAAAAACGCGTACCTAACAATAGATACTTTATTTAGTCGAAAAGATAATGTATGTACGTTCACATCGCCTTGCGACTTTGTATGTATACAGTCATAGCCACATGAGTAAAAAACGGCTTGAATATTTCAAATGTTTATAAAATTATGCATACTATTCTGAAATACAACTTTTTTTTTTATCAAATACAACACTCGCTATTACGTGGTTTCGTTGCTAAATATTTTTCGATTTTTTTACGTACTTATATAAAAATGTTAGAACTTTGTGATATTTTTAACATCATTCACGATGTTTTCCATCGATACCACATGTCCTGTTCACATGCGTAATATTAAGATATAATAGAAATTAATTAATTATGCAAAATGACCTATCTATATAATAAAATGACATACAGACTTCTTGTTGTATGTAAATGCTATTTTATCACATATTAGTGAAAATAAATTATATAATAACACATCGAATAAAGCTATGGTTTTAAAAAATACAATAAATAGAAGAATATCATTGTCATTTCTGGGACACAAATCGCGTTTACGGAAGAGGCGCGCGGGAAAAGCTATCGCATATATAGCGCGCGCGAATATTTACATGGAATAGTAAAATCTTCATTTCGTTGAAATAGCTAATACGTGATATAAAAAATACTAAATTTGGCAATCTGAATATTTCTTCGAAGGTTTCTTAATCGATAGGTAACTGCTCGTGTGTATATATTTGCTCAGTCTGCAGTTCTCTCGTTGCGAAAAAAAGGAACAGTTTCTCCTCTACATTATACATATGTAAAAAAAATATTCGTATAAAAGACTGTTAATAAAAAAGGTTGTCCCGTCTAAGAGAGTTTGCTTCCACAAACGCGATGCAATCCACATGTCCCATTTTATATCTCCGCAGAGAGACATATACTTTCCTGATTAAAAAATAGTTCTCGTAGCACACGCAAAAGAACATGGTCCATTTGTGATTAAAGATACGATTTCGTTCCTGTCGAAATAATATGCCGATGGTCTACAGCTAACGATATTCTGAGAGCGTTTACGCTAACTTACGTCTACAAGCTAAATACGAAGAAGCATATAAAGAAATACTTTGCATCTCACGACTATGCAAAAAGGTTTCCATTTGAATCCTCGACACCGTCAAAATGCTTAAATTTCAATGTATAATGTTTAAACTGTTTAAATTTAAAAAGATCTTCATCCAAAATACGACTGATTCAAAAATCTTAGAAGGCTGAAGGCTGTATTATTCCTTTATCCTACCTTTTTTCGCACTCTCGTTCACGTCTTACAAGAATATAATCAATATAAATATATTGCCGCCGTCGATTATCAATCCTCCTTCCGTTTTTTTTTGGTTACCGTATTTCCTCATACATCTTCCTCGTCACACACTTCTGCTCTTATGCAATATATTACACACAATTTGATTCACATTTATACACACACATAAATAGTCCATGTGCCTTGTGGTCGGACGCACGTTCATCTCGGATCACGGATAATACAAAAGAACGATACTCATCGCAAAACACCTTTTCAAATATCGCTATCCCTTCAGCGTTAAGAACGACCTCACGTCGGATACATGGACATCTGCATAAATTTCTTTCCTCCTTTTTTTTTTAATCGTTATTATTATCGGCGTTTATATTAATTGTCATGATTCCACAGGTACTACTACGTCGCACCACAAAGGCATGATTATCTTTATTCGTTATTCGTTAATCTGCGTTATCTCGTACAACACTAATCGTATCCGTCTATTTAAGTAGTCAAAGTACATATCTGTGCCGTGAGAATCTCGTTCCCGGAAATTCAACGGACAACGCGCGCCATTCGGGAAACGAGTTTCCATATGCCAATACACAGAAACCACACAGCGACTCGCGGAGGCTTTCTAATCGGCTCGGCCGAACATGGGTACGATGTTATTGTTTATCCAGTAATCGCAGTTGGGATAATCGCGCTCGAGCAACGTGTCCTGACCGACAACCAAGATTCGCTTCGCGCCCGACGGGTCGACCTTCACGACCTCGCCGTTCCACACATACTGATTGAACAGCTGTTGCATGGCTGACACGTGTCTCTTTTCCGCAGGTGTGACAGCGGCGTAACTTCCTAAAATCGCCGCGGCATCACTATCGGGATCGGCCAGGCGTCCGCGCGGCTGAGTGGCTACGTAAAACGGTATATTATTACTCGATCTGGCGAGCGTCAGCAGCGGGCACACTACACGGATGTCGGAGATCATCGTGACCAGTCCTTTCAATGTGGCGTTGTAGCGCCTGGAAAGAAAAATGTATAACGCGTTAAAGTCGCGGGCTCGCTTATCATCTTGCAAAAAGATTTCAATTGTCCTGAATTGCGTCTCATCGATTGTCGATTACGAAATTCGGATTATTTACCTAATAGCTTCCTTCGTCACGTTAGAGCCCAAAACTCGGAGGTACGACGAGTCTAAGAGAGTGTTGACTTGCGTCTCGTTCAGGGTGGCGTTCGGCAGCAGATATTGTGACGGTGTGCCGGCGTGCGCGGTGGTGCCCATCACCACTTTCACCGAAAGCTTGTCCCGTGCCAGGATCTGACCGACGTGTTCCTGGAGGATCGCGCCGTCCAGGACGAGCCAGGCGTGCTTATCCTTATTGTACTCCAGCTTCGGTAAGTCCGCGGTGTCTTTGTACCATATCTCTGGCACGGCGTTCATGATGTCCTCGGCGCTCTTGCTCTTCAAACAGGCGGCGTCGTTGCACTGGATGGCGTTGAGGAAGCGCTGGTTGTTCTTCTCAGACGTGGTCAGTTCGTCACCCGGGAAGATCGCGCTGCCGCTCGATATCCACACCCTCGAGAAAAGATTCTTGCTTCGGCGAGAGCCGATCAGCGTCGTGACGAGGGTGCCGCCTGCCCGATGTCCCCACAGAGTGACGGACGACTTGTTGCCGCCGAAATGCTCGATGTTCAACTGCACCCACTGAAGAGCCACTATAATGTCTGACAGTCCGTAGTTGCCCGAGGTTGGAGGGTGAGTCGCTCGAGAGAGCGGCTCGGCCGCCAAGAACCCGAAAATTCCCATTCTGGTGAGAATAAATAAACATGAGTCTTTAAAAAAATCTTCCCTTAACTGAAAATTTCATATCTCAAAACCTTATCATTTTATAAAAATTACGGAAAGCTTTTAAAAAATGTTGCAAATAAAAAGAAAGTCGAAGCATTAAGCTTAATAATGATGTAGCGTATGATTCTGCAAGAACTAATAAAGACAAGAAGCGCGGAAGACATAATTAATGCACAAAAATTACAAATTGTGGCGGAAACGTATTTGTAATTATTGTATATTAAATCTTATCGCCTTTGCTATTATCGATTAGACTGAACGTATTTTACCGGAAGTTCGGCCGTACAAGCACGACTTCGCGAACGCGCGCCAGCTTAGCCGAGGGTTGCATCACGCCGGGTGAACCGCCGCTCAGGGTTTCGGCGCCGATCATGACGATCACGGGCAACGGATTTTCGTATCGAATCACTGGAGTGAAGACGTCGAGATAGAGACAGTCCTCGTCGCCGTGTGTGCGACCGTTCTCGTACTGCCAGCAGCTCTCGGAGGTGTTGTGCGCCAGGTAAGTCCCGTTCCAGCAGCGGTCGATCCGGCTGAGAGATTGAGCCTGCTGCCAGCGACGATTGTCGATTGGCGGCATCGCGTAAGGAATACCGCGGAACGCGTAACCGCCGTCCTCCAGGATGCCCTGCACGTGCCCGCACGACGTTATCGTCTCGATGTACTTGCCGTTCTTCAGAAGCGACGTTAGGGCGTTCCTCCTCGGTCCAGCGCAGGCGATGCAGATGATGATGATGACGCTGAGTAGGACCAGCGCGGTCACCGCTGTCGAACAATTTCACGTGCGATTAATACGCTAATTAAAATCGTCGATTAAGCGCGAATCGAAATTTCGTTCAATTCGCTGTCGAAAAACTGCATTGACATCGCTAGCATTTCGCTCCCCGCTCAATATCGTGAATATCGCTCTGTGTTTTCGTACCTGAGGCGACCGTGTGCTTTCTCACTGCAGTTATGCAAATCAAAGGGTGCTTCGGCCCGGGAGCGGCGCCGTCCGCTCCATCCTCTCCGTCGAGTCGCACGGTCTCCATGCCGTCTTCGTTAACGATAGGCTTCAACTCACCCGCGCTATCGTCCAGCGTTTCGACGCTCGCCAGCCCCGCGGTACCAGTCTGGCCCAACTCGCTATCAGATTCCTGAAAAAAGGAGTCGTCGTGACAACTTGAAGGGAATTTAAAATCGACAGACGCAAGTAAAGAATATTTCTTTACGAAATAAGTGAAGAAATTATTTATCTACGTTAAAAAACGTTGCAACATTCCAGAGAGAAGAGATTCAAATTAAACACCGAGTATATCGGCGATGGAGGATACGCAACAGCTGAGGAAAAACAAGTCGGCTCTCGCACAGGTATAATTTACATCCGGATATTGGAACGAATACGACGGCATATCTCGGTGCACTCTATACGTATCGTACGCGCCCTTCGATAGAACGCAAAGCCCTTCCACCCATTGTTATGCATCCGTGCATCAATTTGAAAACATTTTATTTTCCGCGTATTTTCAATAATTGTAAAATATGAACTGCGCAATCCAGCTACTTCATTCGTCCAAGTTTTTTATTACATAGATAATTGAACGTAGAATTTACACGAGATGTCCGTTTCGGCAATAATTTCCCTTCACAAAAAGTAGTAAAGTTTTTTCTCGTAAAGAAGTTACAGTTATTTTTCACTTTTTGCGTGAGTCTCGAGTCATCATTTCGCTAAAGATCTCGTGTGTATTTTATAACGCTGACGTGTGTTATATTTTGCGCCTCAAGTGCGGACTGGACCGGAAAAGGAGCATGAAAAGATTAAAAAAATTGATAAAAGAAAAAACGCCTCGGGGAAGATTTGTGTGTGTTTGAGATTCGAATGGTCACGCGAGAGCCATTATTTTGCATGAGTGATTTACGGATTAAAATGAACGCTGGATATTCAGTTTTCAGAGACTTTTTGTTTGCGCCTCGCAACAATATAAAAATTCTCTCTCGTTTTTACGCCGCTATTATTTTACATGGAGCACAATAAAAACGGTGAAATCGCAGACAATTTATGTTTCGCTGTTTAGACGAATTAACGTCAACTGCGACAGTTTCTCAAATACACGACGCGAATCTATTCCGGATTTGTTATTAAGAGAATTTTTATCTAAACTTCCAAATATGTACATATGTTTCAAAAGTGTCGTAATATTCTACCAAAAAGAGGCATTTCAAACGCGATGCAAAATTGATTCCTTAAAGTTTAATAAATAATTTTTCTGAATAATCGAAAGATTATTTAAAGCGTAAAATGATATCGTTCGGCGAAGAGATTACCTTCTTCCTTCTGGAGAAAACAGATGATACCGAAGGGAAGCGAATAGCACTCAGGATTCCCCTTCGTCCTTCTTTCTCCTTTGAATCCTTCGCGGGCGTAATAGGCTTTTCCACGGAGGAAGCATTCTGCTCGTTCTCCTTTATCGCCGCAGGAGCTGATTCCGCTTCGGTGGACTCCGCTGGCTTCGTCTCATCGTCGACCTGTAATGATTTTAACAATGTATGCTACGCATACGTTGCAAATAGAGAATATTAGAAAAAAAAATCTTTTTTCAATATACAAGGCATGCATTTCTGTATCTGCATCGGCACCGACGCAAGCGATATTAGCTTCCGTTTACGATGCTCTACGAAGAAGAGAAAAGTCGTCGGTTTTTTTCTCTCAGTAGAAAGTGCAGCCGATAAATTATCCTTTTCATGCAATTTTCCACTTATAGATGCACTTTTTCATCCCCTGCGTTTAAAGTGAAATAAATTTAATAGGGATTTATCCTTTGAAAAAAGGAAGGAAGAAGTGAGCGTACAAACTTAACTGCCGAGAGAAACATATTTCTCAGAGCTGTTATGATACTTCCTAGCTGCGCGACACGAGCTTCGCAGCTGAAAGTCAAGGCGATCGTTCAATCTCGGAACGACGAGAAGCGCACATAGCGAAATCAAGGTCAACCTCGGCAGGACAAAGAGACGACGGCGACCGAGTGACGATGCGCGTATCGCCGACGCCAGACGCTCGCCCTCTCCGGAGCGCAGAGCTCTCCAAGATGCGACAGATTATTATTTTTAGAATAGCACCACTCATGTGCGCCTTAAAGCCTTGGACTTGAACGCGTTCGGGACGATAGCTTGCACCATTTGCCCCTCTCCGCGCTAAACTCCGCCGCCAGCTGCCATCGGGTCGTCATGCTTCGAATTTCTATTGTAGACGAAGCGGATGGAGGCCTCCTGTCGTCTGGAGGAAAACAGGAACGGAGATCTACGTTCACGCACGAATAAGAAATTTATTTTTAAAGGAGCGTATCGCGGTAGCAGCGATATTTTTAAACAAACAAAAGAGAAATACGTGACTGCAATTTGAGAAATTTATTCTTAGAATAAAAGTGAAAGACGAGAAGCGAGAAGTAATATAATCATTTTATATCAATTTTACAGCTTTTTCAGACATCAAACTGTTGGAAACAGTAAGATATTGAAAGGGAAAAAAAACGAAAGAGAGAGTAGCGCTTGATTCGCTGTAAACATGGAAACAATACGCAGAGGAAGTTAAATTATATGCTTGATAATTCTGTAGTGTACAATGCAATTCCAAAAATAGTTAATAATAATATTTGCATAGATCGCTGAAGGTATCTTGAAAATACTTGAAATTATCTCCAATTACGGCGAGTTCCATATTAGAGATACGAGTTAGTTTATGATCGCCGAAGTTATTATTCTACGAGCTAAATTAACCAGACATTGCTCTCAAATCAAATTTTTCTGTTGGAAACCAATCGCGCGCTTAAGTTAAGCGTTCATTATTTTTGATAAATCAGCTTTGTCTATTTTCATCTGAAAAATCATCTTTAACTTAATTGCTATCAGGTTAGTTTATTAGAAAGATGTGTTTATGAATTCTCAAATGAAGAAACTGTAAATAGAAAAATGTATCGTCTCTATCTTTGAACTTGAAAACATTAAAATATTTCTCTTGCATTCGTCGCAGTAAATATTTTTTAATACAAAAATACGTGACTACTTGTAATTATATTGTACACGCATTTCAAGATAGTATCAAGAATCTCCAGTGCCTTGATTGATTTATTTAAGTAGCAATTAAGCGAGATGATCTTCTCTGAATCTCTCAACTCCGAGCGTTGGCCGATTATCCGAGGCATCAATCCCGCGCCTCTCGCTCGTCGGAAGCGCGCGGGATGCGCTTAATGCTTGCGTATATACGAACACGCTGCTATATTTGGATGTCGAATGCTTTCAAGTGAAGTCGCGTGGCGCGGCCACCCGCCGCATGAGTACCAGAGTATACGCACACACGCACGCACGTGCGTGACATGTATTTATACGACGTTAGTGCTCTTCGAGCTCGCTCATTTTCTCAGCTCGGTGTTATTAATAAATGTTACATTTCTATAAGAGACCCCCCATTCAATTTTCTGCAGCGCAAATAATTTCTTACATTTTTTTACGTTCAGCGTAATTTTCCGCGCATCATATAATTGCGCATGATTACTCGAGACGATATTCTTAAGAACAGGATGTTTATTTTACGGATAGACGATAATGAAAAAAGGCTCGAGATAAAAAAGCTGCGAATGGTGTATTTTTAGAAAGAAGTTTGCTTTAAAAGACTCTGCGTGTGTATTATATATAAATATATACATATATTAAATATATATACGATTGAAGATCGAAATTGAAGACACGAAACACATATCCTGTTTTATTAGATAGCGCACAGCAACGCATGACTGCTTCCAGATTCAAGTATGCGTATTTCCCCTGAGTGTCATCCGGGGTTCCGCACCCAAATTTCTATAAATAAATTTCACGCAACGGGTATCGCAAGGTCGTGCACCGTGACTGCATCTCCAGGTTGCAGGATACATTTAATAAGCGCTCATTACAACCAATTACGTGGTCAAAAAAATCTCCCTTTAACAAATTCAACACATTTGTGTTTTTACCACTTTAGTCTCTCACTATTGTTATTTTAGTTATCATCGTAAGCGTTGAGAAGTTTGATCGTTTTGAATAGCAAGAAAAACAGTGTAAAGCAGCTGGTGTATAAAAGAAGCCGGGAAAAATCTGTAATCTTAATCTTTCGTCAGCAAACTGGGTCTTTTTTAAGGCATAAGCGAAATTACTTACTTCAATTACTTTTTCCAAAGAACGAAGACAGTGGGATCTGTTTTTCCTTAAAAAAACATTGAAAACTATTGAATGACATTCTAGAGACTCTGAGAAGTAATCAAGAATTTTTGTAGATTTTTTGAAAGCCTAAAACATCAAAAAAACACGAGGTGGAACTAAACGACGAATCCAGATTGCTGACGAAGGGTTAAGAACTGAATTGTACAAAACGATTTGAACACAAACTACACAAAATCTAACACACAGAGTGGCAATGATAACATTGACATAAAAATAGCTCCTTTAAATAGGAGGCACATGTGGATCAAGCAAGTATTTCCAAATAATATTTCTGGCCGCCTGTTTGCGGAAGTAAACACTTGATCTCATACGCAGTGAATGTGTCATCAATACCTTCCCGACTGAAGCAAATATTTATTATACGTGTTTATACGAAAGCTATGTAATCCTACACAAAATAAATGTATCATCAGCGCCTCTTTCTGTAACTAAACTGAACATATATTTGTCCAAGAATTCTTTTCTGCAAATTATTTTATCAGCGTCACTCGATTGCCTCGGAATTTTGCAGTTTCACGCTACGTTGCACCTATTTAGTTACCGAAGAATGTACGTACGTATAAAATATGTCACAGAAATCGCGAGCTCGATTTTAATGTTTTGACGGCGTCTTGTAGCGTGCTTGGTTCCCAATTGAACCAAGAAAAATTGGCGTTACAGTTTGCATAACGTCGACTACGTCGACTACGAAATTATTAGACGATAGATTCGCTATCGAGCGTGTTCTTCGCCACACGACGCATGACGGATAGTCGCCCCATTGTAACGCCCCACGAGAAGGGCGTCTTTCTACATAGACTTAATTCTGAAGAATAATCCGTTATTTCTGGGAAGTTGCATTCACTTCGGAACGGCGGCTCAATGTGAATTATTTCTGCACAAGCAGCTGCATCATCGCGCGCGCACGCTATCTCATTCTGCAGTTATAAGCGCTGTTATTATCCGGCAATAAATAAAAAATGCGCATTCAGTTCGTTGAACACAATCATCAAGTAGATGTTTTGTGTGATATTCAACTTTCTCAGAATTTGAATGCGTGGAAACGCGCATTTCGAGATTTATCACGATATGATAATCGACGATTGGCATTGTTAAATACAATTGTTTCGCACAGACGCGCGCATTTTTAATTTGAACGCGATATATTTCGAGATTTAAATCGATCTCTGACGGACATTGCTAAATCTAAACCGCTTCGTTCTTAATTTACGCGATTGAGGTGTAAATTAATTTTGATCGAGATTTAAAAATTGAACGGATAAACTATCGATCGCATTTAGCGCTCTAGACTTCTATTTAGCGCCGCATCTGACGTTTGATTCTTAGGTTTATCGGACGAACGTGAAGCAACGCTAAACAGAGCTAAATGGGGGACTTCTGAACACACACACCGTCAGAGAAAGATACACTCGTCGGAGTCCCGTAATTCTTTCTCAATCTCTTTCTCTCGTGTCACAGGTGGCACGGCGGAAGCGAGGCTGACCACCGCGGAGAGGAAAGCTGCAATTTTCCGGTCTGTCGAATTCACCGGTGAATCAGGCCGCAGAATCGATCTACGAGCAAGTAACGGGATCCCCCGAAGAATACAAGTCGGTGAAAAGCGTCGTAAACCGTAATATTGACAAATTTAAAGTTGATTTTTTTGATCGGCGAAAATTTCTTTCAAGACAATCATTAATCACAAATTTCTACTACGTGCAGAAGTATAAATGTAGGGCATAAAATTTGGAATTTTTACAAGTATATTTCTTCGTACAGATGGATTCATAGATGAGAATTCGTGGAGATTGCGTTCGTATAGTATAAAATAGGCCGTAATCGTATTTCTCGCTATCTCGCAGGAAATTCTGAATGACACTGTCGCTTGCGTAATTTCCGCAGCGTAAAGTAGTTACTAATCGGCTGTCCGGCTAGTCTTAGTCATCGTCTTGTGTAGAATCATGTTTCCTCAGGGTTGTTGCACCCGACCATGTGTTTATCACGTCGTCCGTGACAAAGGAATTTATTAGTATTCTACATATTTATCTTATCTCATACAACTTTATTGAATTTGTCGCGGCGCTGCGAGCAAAATTCTCCGTAAGCAAATAATAAAGAAATTTTGATACGCGGGCCGGAAATGTATTATCTCGCCATTATCGTATCATAACGCGAATGATGTTCGACAGAAAAGGTCTTCCGGGCCCATTGTGAAACGTCAGCGTCTACTTGTGAATGACACGATTATCGTGCAGTTAAAGACTGTGCGATAGTTGATTGAAATGACAGCACGCGATTTTGAAGAGAATGAGAGTTCGCGT